TTCAGTACATTACAGCACTTCAGCACTACTATTGAAACATTTGAGTGGTATAGATCAAAAGATTTTTTTGTGGCAAATTATTATTATTATTATTATTATTATTTTTGTTATCCTTGATTTTATTATTGACCATGTGCACATGACCATATGCAGTACGTGACTCCTATAAATCACACTGTAACAAGTCACCATCACTGTTTATAGTCACAGGGAATGCACAACACCTTAAATACACCTTAATAAACACATCAACAACAGGCATAGATTTAAATGTATTTCTCATCACTCACTCCAAGTGTTATACACTGTATAGAGCCGTGTCTGTGAAGACTTGACTATAAACAGAGGAATAATCCTGTGTGTGTGTGTGTGTGTGTGTGTGTCTCAGTAACTATAAACCTCACACAAATTTCTCTGCTCCAGAGCTTCTTGATCTGGTCTGTGAAGTCCAGGATCTGGGGATTAGAGCTCGTGCTTCCACTACAGGCGGCCTCAGTGCTAATGCTGGCCACACACACATGCGCGCATGCAGTGTATCCTTGTCTTTGGGTGAAGGACGTGGGCACAGCAGGCTATGCTGTGTCTCTGGCTTGTGCGTCTGTGTGTGAGTGTGTGCGTCTGTGTGTGTGTGTGTTGTTCGTGTTCAGAGGCAAATCAGTGAGGCAGTAATTCTGAACCCTTAGAGCTGCAGCTGGCACTCGGCATACGACACACACACACACATGCACACACAGCGCACATACTGTACTACACGATTGAATGCGAGGGGACTACAAAATAAATGAATAATTAATTATTGAATAAATATTTTTTAAATGATTATTTAAAATTTTAGAGAGGCATTAAAGGAATTATCCACCAAAAGACTCAGTTTACTAGTCTAGAGTTAAACAGGGAACCATTTTTGAATCCATTCATCTGCTTTTTTTGGTCTGACGGGTCATCTTTAGCTTAGCTTAGCATAATGAATTGAATCGGATTAGACCATTAGCATTTTGTAACTGTTCATTTTCCATCAGTATTACATGATGTGACTGCAGAAGACTCAAGCTTTAAATAGGAAAGTTATCAAAACTCTTTTCTGAATGTTTTTGAACTAAATGCTAATGGTCTAATCTGATTCAATTCATTAAGCTAAGCTAAAAGCCTGTAATGTAAACAAGAAATCAGCTGAATGGATTTAAAAATGGTCAACTGTTTTAACTAAAAAAAAAAACTGCTCAGAAACATTGCTTAGCTTAGCATAATGAATTGAATCATATAAGACCATTAGCATTTCGTAACTGTTCATTTTCCCTTAGTCGTATTACATAATGTGACTACAGAATACTTAAGCTTTAAACTCTTTTTCTGAGTTTTTATTGAAATGCTAATGGTCTAATCTGATTCAATTCATTAAGCTAAGCTAAGCTTAAAGTGACCCCAAAATGTGAACGAAATCAGCTGAATGGGTTCAAAAATGGTCAACTGTTTAACTTTAAAAAATAGCTTAAAATTAGCTTAGCTGAGCGTAATGAATTGAATCCGATTAGACCATTAGCATTTCGTAATTGTTCATTTTTTCATCTCTCTTATTACATGATGTGACTACAGAAGACTCAAGTTTTAAATAGGAAAATTATCAAAACGCTTTTTTTGAGTTTTTATTGAAATGCTAATGGTCTAATCTGATCCAATTCATTACGCTAAGCTAAGCTTAAAGTGACCCTAAAATGTAAACAAGAAATCGCCTGAATAGATTTAAAAATTGTCAACTGTTTAACTTTTTTAAAAAAATGCCTAGCTTAGCATGATGAATTGAATCGGATTAGACCATTAGCATTACATCATTGTTCATTTCTGTCTGTCTTATTACACAATGTATCTATAGAAAACTTGACCTTAAAATAGGAAAATTATCAAAACTCTTTTCTGAATGTTTTTGAACTGAATGCTAATGGTCTAATCCGATTCAATTCATTATGCTAAGCTAAGCTAAAAGTGACATTGAAATGTGAACAAGAAAACGGCTGAATGGATTCAAAAATGGTCAACTGTTTAACTCTAAGAGACTGTTTAAAAAAATAGCTTAGCTTAGCTTATCGAATTCAATTATATTAGACCATTAGCATGTATTATGCTATGTATTCATCTTTTTTTATAGATTATTTTGCCACATGGCTATTGGCTAACCAATTTTACCGGTAGGTATCACTAACATGCTGTTATTGCCATGGATTAGCATGTATATTTTTAGCACACTGCAGGCTAGCATTAGCAAGTTGTGTGTGTATATTTCAGGCTTGTATACCAATTAAGAAGTACCTAACAGGATTCTAGCCTGTTTACATGATCTGAGTTTGTTTTTGACAGTGATAAAATTAATCTTTGAAAAATGTACAGCATGAATTAATATGCTCTTAACACAGCATGTTTTTACATGGTGCAGATGTTTTTTTTAAACAATGTTTTATCACACTGCTAGTGTGGATTTATACTGTTACTTAGCATGTTTGCTAACATACACTACCTGACAAAGGTTTTGTCAAGGACCCCAGTTGTAAGAGCAACAAATAATAACTTGACTTCTAGTTGATCATGTGGAAAAGTGTCAGAAGGTGGATTCTTCTGCTGAATCATCGGTTGATCTGCATCCCAATCATCACCAATACTGCAGAAGACCTACTGGAACCAGCATGGAGCCAAGATTCTCATAGAAATCAGTCAAGTTTGGTGAAGGAGAAATCGTGGTTTGGGGTTCATTCAGTATGATCTGCAGATTGGATGATCAACATCAACAGCTTGAGGTATCAAGACATTTGTGCTGCCCATTACATTACAAACCACAGGAGAGGGACAATTCTCCAGCAGGACAGCGCTCCTTCTCATACTTCAGCCTCCACATCAAAGCTCCTGAAAGCAAAGAAGGGCAAGCAGCTCCAGGATTGGCCAGCCCAGTCACCAGACATGAACACTATTGAGGATGTCCGGGGTTAAGATGAAGGAGGAGGCGTTAAAGATGAACACAAAGAGTCTTGATGAGCTCTGGGAGTCCTGCTGAACGCTTTCTTCTTCATTCCAGATGACTTTATTAATCAGTGATTTGAGTCATGTCAGAGATGTATGGATGCAGTCCTCCAAGCTCATGATGGAGTCAGACACAATATTCATTCTGTCTCCACTGCAGCAGGACTTTATATTCTATACTGGACATTATTTCTGTTCAGTGATGAGACTTTAGTCTGAGTCAGATCTTACTGTCCTAATCAAATCATTAATAATCAAGGCATGATCAGATTTCATTGTGCTCAAATAAGCGTCATCTAGAGGCCTTTGCCTTTCATAGAAGCCACTTCCTAATACCAAATGATCAACTAGAAGTCAATTTATTAGTTGTTGTTCCTAAAACTTAGACAGGTGACAAGACTTTTGTCAGATAGTGTTCTTTAACACTAGACACAAAGAACAAATATGACCGGCTACTCACTATTAGCCTCTTGAGACCCAAGAAGTTTTGCTCCACAGAGTTAGCCGAGAGCACCTGCCTCTTCATCGCTGCCTGCTCGCCTAGAAAACGCTGCATGAGATCTTTCACTGCGTCACCCTGTGAATCAGAAACAGCACAAATACATTCATTTTATTGTCGGCTTAGTCCCTTTATTAATCAGGGGTCGCCACAGCGGAATGAACCACCAACTTATCCAGCATACAGTATGTTTTACTCAGCGGATGCCCTTCCAGCTGCAACCCAACACTGGGAAACACCCATACATTATCATTCACACACATACACTACGGCGGATCAAGTTTATTCAAGTCACCTATAGTGCATGTGTTTGGACTGTGGGGGAAACCGGAGCACCCGGAGGAAACACATGTTAACACGGGGGGAACGTGCAAACTCCATACAGAAATGCCAACTGACCAAGCCAAGGCTCGAATCAGCGACCCTCTTGCTGTGAGGTGACAGTGATACTCACTACATCACAAATATATTTGACTTCTAATTCCAGTGCATTAATACATTAAGCTAGCATTAACCAACATTATGATTCACTCTGTCTTAGGGCTCTGTTTTGACAGTCCATACGCAGAGCGCAAAACGCAGGGCGCAAACGCTGTCAGGGCGTGTCAGGACGCATTTTTGCTAATTTAAGGACGGGAAAATCTGCTTTGCGCCGTGGCGCATGGTCTAAAAGGGTTGAGTTTATTTTCTTAATGAGTTATAGGTGTGTTTTGAGAATAAACCAATCAGAGTCTCATCTCCCATTCCCTTTAAGAGTCATCTGCGTCGTGCCATAAGCGCATTTTGACGTAAAGTAACTTCACTTTCGCTTTTGCTCTCGTGGATAGGGAAACCTTACCGCACAGACATCAATTAGCCTATAAATAATTAATTTCCTTTGTTAAGCGCAAAGATTTGTTTCAAAACTATTTCTAAATTCAGTTCTAATTTCCAGCAAACGAATAAATAAACAATAATAACAAAATGTGCTCAAAATACTGAGTTATATCCTAAAACACATGCTGTGCCCCATATGGTCTAAAACCTGACAGGTGTACAAATCTAAGCTTGTTTTTAATAAAACAAATATAAATATGGATATAATAAAAAATAATGCTAATAATAATAACATTATACAAAAGCAAATTGTTATGAATGAACTGAAAAAGCCTCCCGAGATGAAGAAAGTATGAAGGCAGTGGTTTTTAAATCTTCATGTAGGCTAGAAATTAATATGTTGTGTAAATGTGATATTTTAATCCTTTATATTTATATTCTATATATATCCTTATTATATAAATCCTTAATATACTATATATTTTTCATATGCAAAGATATTTGCGTATTGCTCTGCATCTTGTTTGTAGTGTGTAAGCCAGGTGCACTTTGCGCCAGACAATAGACCGACTTTGTTCTGGTCTAAAGATCAGACTATTTACAGTTTCTCAAAATAGCAACGCGCCAAAACACGCCTGCTTTGTTAGACCAGAACGCCCATGGGCGCACATATGAGCGCAAATGCATTTGCTATTTAAACAGTGTGGCGCAACACCTCAAAATGACCCTTGCGCCGAGATTACAGTAGCAAAAGACTATTGCGACGCGTCTTGCGCCACATTGCGCCGGGTGTATGATAGGGCCCTTAAGGCTGATTTATACTCTTGCGTCAATCACCGGCGTATGCCACAGCGCTGACGCATAGCCCTTCGCCGTGGCCGTCGCCGTCACTGACGTGCACCTCTCAAAAATTGTAACTACACGTCGCAACGACGCGTAGCATAAGCTCTGTGATTGGTCGGCTTGGTAGCGCTGACGAGTCTGGGTGGGACCGAGAGCCGCCGAATGGCGCGAGCGATTGTTTACAAGTGTGGAGTCCCGTGAAGGAGCTCCGGATGGAAAGTTTTGTTTTGTGTTTACCTCATAGTTAAAGTTGTTGCACGTCCGCCGGTTCCTGCCTCAAAATGAGCGAGTTTGAGCCACTTGTACATCCCGGGAGTGTTCAGGAAAAGCAAAACAAAAGCGAAGAAACACGACACAGAGGAACATTTACACCTCACTGCCAACTAGCGTTTCGGAAGTGTTAATGCAGACCAACAGAGACAGCAGCAGAAGTATAAATGCACAGCCACGCGCGTTGCATGCGCCGTGAGTTACGCCGGTCACTTGACGAAGAAGTATAAATCAGGCTTTAGTCTTCAAAAAAAGCATTTTATTTGTCCTACCAGATGATAACAGATTTTTTTTGCCTGTGATCTAGCCTGAATATTGCTTTCTCACTACAACCGAACCGATTTAGAGTTCGTTTAAACCAAAACACCTCATTCAGGTGATCTCAGATTGTTTTGGCGCAGTTCAGAGCACGATTGCGGCGTTCATTCATTCATTCATTCTCTAGTCGGCTTAGTCCCCTTATTAATCAGGGGTCGCCACAGCGGAATGAACCATCAACTTATCCAGCATGTGTTTTTTTTACGCGGCGGATGCCCTTCCAGATGCAACCCATCTCTGGGAAACATCCATAAACACTTAATCACACTCATACACTATGGACAATTAAGCCTACCCAAATCACCTGTACCGCATGTCTTTAGACTGTGGAGAAACCGAAGCACTCGGAGGAAACCCAGGGAGAACATGCAAACTCGACACAGAAACGCCAACTGACCCAGCCGAGGCTCGAACCAGCGACCTTCTTGCTATGAGATGACAGCACTACCTACTGCACCACTGCTTCGCCTTGCTGTGTTCATATACGTCCAAAGCTAATAATGCAAAAGCGCCAGGTTTCCTATCAAACATCTAGGTGTGAAAGCATTCTTAATCCTAGTTAAAGTGTATTGTGAAACAGCACTGACCTGCAGGTTGTCAAACTTGAGTCCAGGCATGGCCAGCTGCTCTCTGGGTATCTGACCAGGGCTGATCTGCTGTGTGGCCACCGAAATCAGCACTTTCCTAGTGTCATCAGAGGGAAGCCAAGCATCGTATCTCTTATCCAGCTCGCTATTGATCAGAGCGCTCGCAAAGGGGTCATCTCCACTCGAAAACACGGCCTGCAGCTTATTCATGGGTGCCGAGACCTCAACAGGACTCCCTTGTGGTTTGTTCGCAGCTGGTGTAAAGTACGTGCTGGTTGGTACAGCTTCCTGAGGAGATTCCGAAGGATTGAGCGACTCTGCGTTCGGGTTGCTGACGGATATGAAAGAGGTGGACGTCGTGAAGGAATCGAAGAAGTCTGAGGCAGGGTTGACCGCGCCGTTATCCGTGAAGAACTTACTGAGGCTGGGACTCGGCTGGCACACCTGCGGGATGAGTTTGTTGGGGGTTTCTGTGCTGCCCGTGGTAAAACTGGGAGATTTGACAAGCGTAGGTTGGAAGCCGTCGGGAACCAGAGCTTGTGTTTTGGGCTGCGCTGCCTGGCTGAAGATCGTACACACTGGGACGGGATCTTCTCTGGGGGTTGAAATGGTATTTATTTCGATGGATGCGTCCTGAGATTCGGGAGTTTCTAGGTTTGGAGGAGCGATTTCCCTTTTGTCATCATCCGCCTGAATGATCTTCTCCTCTTGCTTCTCTTCTTCCAAAAAACCCTCAGATGTTTCTTCATGTTCAGTACTATCATCTCCGTTTGGCTCTTCTGCATCTCCATCAGGTGTTTTGGACGCCTCTTCATCATCATTCTGCCCTAAAAGTAGACACATGTCGATAATAAATAATTCAATATATCATAATAATGAGCACAATATCATAACATTTTAATATCTTGGGCAGTTCAAAATACCGTAATTGAGGCCTCGTTTAGACTTGTGCATTTTGGTTTTAAAACGGCGTTTTAGATCAAAAACGATCCGCGTCCACACTAGCGTTTCACCTAGCGTTTCTGAACATATCTCCGTCCACACTACGCCACCAAAAACGTATATCACGTGACCATTCGCGCTCTCTGCGCATGCGCGTTCTAGTATAAACAGGAAGCATGTGTCTCACTTGGCATTTGGTTAATGTTAGTCAACAAACGCCGGTTGAACAATGAAAGCGGTAGCAAAGAAAGCAAGAGAGGTGTTTTTGTGGACAGACGACGAGGTCGAGTTGTTACTAAACGTAACTAATGAATAACTGGACAATGACGAATAAAACAGACAATAGTGCAAACAACGCTCCCATTTCTGTGTCCGTGTTGTTGTCTACAGTGAAGGCTGGTCTGCTGTCTTCCGGTAGCGTTAAAGCCATGTGTTATAGTCATGTGATAGGGGCTTGACGAATTAGGGAAGGATATGCAATGACACAAAAGACCCAATCAGGTAGCGAATCTCAGCAGCCCCGCCTCCATTTTCAGATGTCTCCGTTTTCCCTCATTCACACTGAGATGGAGCAGCAGCGCTTCAGAATAAAATCGGCCTCTTCAACGGTTCCAAAACGCTCCGTTTTCGGCGCTCGAAAACTCCGGCGTAGTGTGGACGGATGGCGTAACCGTAGCAAAACGTATGCGTTTTCAAACTGAAATGCATTATTGTAAACGGGGCCTGATTTTTCATCATGTTTTATAATAACGTTTAGAGTGCTTTTTGAGAATATTTAGATTGTTGTATTGGCAGTGGTTGTTCAAGCAACAAATGCATAAAGACTTAAAGGGCACCTATGATGCAAAAATCACTTTTATAAGCCGGTTTAAACATAATCATAGTTAATCATATTTAAGTTTATTTAACTTAATACTAAGTTTGGTGAACTGAACAATTTAAGTATAGTCTACAAAACTGGCAAGTTAAATAAACTTAAATATGAAAGTTTTGGGAGACTCCATTACTCAATTAAATTGAGGCAACGAGTCTACTCAATTAATTTTGTTCAGTCAACATATTAGGGTTTTCAGTGTGTGTGCATATATATATATATATATATATATATATATATATATATATATATATATATATATATATATATATATATATATATATA